CCCCGACCCCTCCAGGACTGCTGTCCCAGCGAACTGCTCGAGATGCGTCCAGCCATGACAACCAGGGAAGACGCTCTCAGTGGCGCCGGCGATACGCCACCAGTCGCGAGAGTACCAGGACGGGCCAGGTCGAAGCGAGCTGCCACACTGCGCGGACGGCAGACGGAAGCGAACACGACCCCCGAAGGGAGTCCTGCGGGACTGGCAGGGCGTGCCAGGTGAGAAGCAAAGGGGCCGCTGGACCTGCCCTACTTGATCGAAGCTGCAGGCGCGCAGGCGCCGCAATGATCGAAGGACAAATTACTCGGGGTTTCTTAAGCTAGGGCTCCCAACTTCGCGCTTCGCGCTCCGCGAAGCGCGAAGCGCGAATAACTTCGCGCCCTCGCGCCGCCCCCCCAAAGGGAGAAGAGGAGGACGAGGAGGAGGGGGAGAAGGAACGAGGACCGCGAAGCGCGAATAACTTCGCGCCCTCGAGGGAGCCCTTGGAGTCTGTTATCCGCGATAACGGGCGTGATCGGGGGGGGGGTCACCCCCACTCACCCCACGGCGGGTTTCGGCCTCCCGGGGCCTTTTCCGAACCCACGGGCCCTCGGGAGGAGGCAGATAAGGAGAAGGGAAAGGGAGCAGAGGAGGAAGCTAGGGCTCCCAACTTCGCGCTTCGCGCTGCGCGAAGCGCGAAGCGCGAATAACTTCGCGCTCTCGCGCCGCCCTCCCAAAGGGAGAATAGGAGGACGAGGAGGAGGGGGAGAAGGAACGAGGACCGCGAAGCGCGAAGCGCGAATAACTTCGCGCCCTCGAGGGAGCCCTTGAGGAAGAGGGGATTGAGGAGGAATTCCTGGGAGCATCTTGAGATGATGCTGCTGCTGCTATTGATCCTGTTGCTGCTGCTGCTGCTGCTGCTGTTATTGCTGCTGCTCGTTAGTATGCTTACTCTTATTGTTACGATGATACGTCTTCTATTTAATCTTGATGCTATTATTATCATTACTACTGTTCGTATTCGTATGATTCGTATTGTTCCTCGTATTATTCCTTTGCTTATGATTCGTAGTGGTACTAATATTTTGAATATTAGTATTATGATTAGTATCCCTCTGCTCAGTGCTTCCCTCTTCTCCTTCTTCTCCTTATTATCCTTCTTCTCCTCATCCTCCTCTTCATCCTTCTCCTCCTCCTCCTCCTCCCCTCCCCAAATCCTCCTCCTCCTCGTCCTCGTCCTCATCCTTCTCCCCCTTTCCCTTTTTCCCCGGTCGTCGTCTTCGCCGTCGTCCTCCTCATGCGGAGGCGTGGGGAGGATATTCAGGAATATGCTTGTGAACGTTCGGGGGGCGCGTGTCCATACGTATCCCTTGTGAGCGTTCGGAGAGCTCGCCTGTATGACATTTGATAGCGGTGATGCTGCAAGTTCTTACGCAAATCTTCCCTTTCACGCGCTTCCCGTTCATGTTAGGAAAAGGTTTGGGCAACGACCGTTTCGCCTGAGACATCCTCGCCAAATCGTGAAGTTGGGAGTCGTAGCTTAAGACGTCTGTTGCTAAAAATGGGCGTTTCGCCTGAGACATCCTCAGAAAATGGGGATGCTGAAAATGTCGGCCTAATTCGGACCTCCGAAAATGAGCGTTTCGCCGGAGACATCCTCGAAAAAATGTGATGCGCCAAGCGCTATTGTAAGGCATCTTTTCCGAGCGGTCTCGGATGACCTCCAAGATGGCCCAAGCGTTTCGCTTAAGAATCAACAGTTCGCTCGAGACATCCCCTAAACAAATCCTTCGAGCGGGCCCTCGAAACCATCTGATTTCCTCCTCCTCCTCCGCCTCCCGGTCACGGACAACAGCGACGACGACGAATGCATCGGCAACCCTTGGGGTTCTCTGGAAACCCTGGAAGATTCCTTGAGACATGTGGGGAAAACAACGTGTTATGATCGGGGGTGGGGGAGGTGCGGGGGCGCTCACGAGCGTTATCGCCCAGACTTATACATTAATAAAAAATTGAATAGTTATTTATAATAGTATTATTATATGACACGACTAATAATAATAAACAACAACAACAGCAACAACAGCAACAACAACAGCAACAACAACAACAAAAGCTCTAACAAACGTGGGGGGTACGTACCCCGACGGGTGTCAACCTCGCCTCGTCGGCGCGCCGCGACGGGGGGTCGGGGCACCCTCGGCGCGCGGCGGCCGCCCGCGACGTGGGGCGATGCGGGGCTGTCGGCGGGGGCGGCGCCCCCCCCCCGACGCTCGTCACGAGAGAGACGCTCGGAGGAAGGGCGGGCCAGAGGCCACGCGCTCGCGTGCCGTGGGGCGGGCCCAGGAGTCGGGCAGGCGGGCCGCAGCCGGCGAGGCGGAGGGGCCCAGGGCCCGCCCGCCCACACTGCTGGCGCGTCGGGGCCACGCGCGCAGCCGCGCGGCGCAGAGCCACGCACACACCACACACCACACAAACACACACACGCACACAAACACACACACACCACACACACACACAC